TTTACACGCAAACGGAGATTTCTCCTCTGAAAACGAGTCTTTCTAAAAACTCCGGCCAGAGTGGAGAGACGGTGAAATGTCCGTTTATGAAAATAGCCGGCAACGTGTAAACGGCCTCTGACTGAGAGCTGAGTCTCTGCAGCTGTCTGCAATCAGCCTCACGCAGCCCTGCTCAATCAGCTCGTCAGCCTGCAGCACTACATCTGACCCTCTCTGCTTCAGTCTCTGAGGCCATTTACACTTGGCCGGCTATTTTCATAAACGGACATTTCACCGTCTCCGTTTTCAAAAAGATCTTCGTTTACACTTAGCCGTGTATATATACACAAGAGCATGCCAAACCTGTAGGTGGCAGTGTAACGACAAGCTCAAGCCTTCCATGTATCCTTTGTCACCATAGCAACATAGGTCGCACTTTTGACACAGGCGCAAGTTCCGGCACATACTGTGACGTCAGCTGCCTATAACTCCGTTTATCTCCGTTTATCTCAGTTTACATGCAAACGCGCAAACGGAGTTTTCCAAAATCTCCACTCTGGCTGGAGTTTTTAGAAAGACTCGTTTTCAGAGGAGAAATCTCCGTTTGCGTGTAAACGAAGGAAGATGTCTCCGTTTATCAAAATCACCGTGTACGTGTAAACGGCCTCTCTGTTTGAGTGAACGACTCGGCCACAGAGCTCCTGCCAGAGTTTTATCTTGTCTTCAGTTTATAGAGTCATTGTCTTTCTGTTACTGCCCAAAGAAAAAGCTTTGAAGAGATATCACCTTGTCTTCTGTCTGCTTCACAAAATAAATTCACTAAAGTCAACATTCAAGCCATGGAAATCTGTCAGTGTGAACATGACAAAAGCCTGTCAGAGTGTCAGCATGTGTTGGTGCTGTTTTTGCCAAAATGTTAACCTGTCATTGTGTGTTGGATGATATCAGATGGAATTATGAGGAAAGCTGCAAAATGTTCTCACGCTAACAAAACATTGAAAACATGTTCATTAATCAACACAACTTGTGGTCAAATGAATATATTCTTTAAATCAATCACAGTTGACGCCAAAGTCCAACATACAGCAGGTCAATATGAAGCGCTTCAACCATGCAGTGATTTGTGCTGTATGCCTGTGTCACTTGTTGATACGAGGGATGCATCATATTGGATTTTTTGCCAATATATAATAACTTATTTGGCCGATACCGATATCTTATCCACCTTATTTCCCCCCCTTAATGTTGGTGATCATCAAGTCTCTTCTGTAGTGAATTAACATCATATTATACATGCATGCTCTTATCATGATGGCCCACCAGCAGATGGAGACATGAAAGAGGCTTTTTAATCTTTGTGATATTTATTCATTGTGCAAAATTTAAAAAAGCTGATACCTATGATTGTTACAGTCTGTGCCAAGAAAGGCGAGCGAGCACATCACAGCATGAACTGTGTTCTCTTCTCAAAGATTATTTTACTGGAGATATCTACGCTGCTGCACCTGCACCTTTTCACTCTTTGAGATGTCCTGATGAAATACTGAAAAAACAACAACACTTGTTCTAAGAAAGTTTTCTTTACTCATCTTATTCTCATCTACAATCTATGCACAAAAGAACAGGTGGAGCATGTGGCCCATACTCAAACATTTCTTTTAAATTGTACTCGATCAGATTTTCCATGTCAGTCTTCTTGAATTTGAACTTAGTTCCTTTAGTTACTTTCAAACTACTAGTTACTTTCCTTTAGTTACTTTCAAACTGATCCATGCTTACAAACAGCAACACAGAGGTGGTGTCTTCTTAAGATGGATACAGGCTGACTGAAGAGTAGTGTGAGGGAGTTTCACACAGGTGTATCATAGATTCATAAAATGTCAGCTGTGAAGAGATATTTCCTTTTCAGTCAAATAAAGTTCTGGGTCTTCCTGTGAGATCTGTGTGAACTGGTTTGGTGTGAAGTTTGTGGAACCAGTAAATATGTGTTAACACATTTGCAAGAAAAGACTTGTGCTGTGCTGCGAAGGTGATGATGAAGATGTGGTGGATCCATCAGAGAGAAAAAACAAAGGAGCAACCAACAGGGAAATAAAATCTTTTTATGACAATGACTCTGTGAAGACAGCTGGTCATCATCAAGTCTGTGTCTCCATCTGCTGGTCAGTGGCTGTACTGCATGCTATATTCAACTAGAGCTCTGCACCGCTGCAGCCCAGTCGTCAGAATAATACACAGGCATGTTATGTTTCTGCAAACCACAGATACATTCGACATCACGTTGACAACATGTTGCATACGTGACTTTAATGTTTCTGGGTCAATAATGTTTGTGAATGAAACCCAACTCATGTTTTGAGGGTAAAATGCTGTTTGTTCATGGACAGCTCAGCAGGAGGAGGATTTTTTCTTCACATTTAAAAATTCCCCCAAATAAAATACTTTTCCTTTCACTTCAAGTCCTATCTCAGCTTTTATTTATTAAATTGTAATTAGAGATGCATGGTCCTACATTTTGTGGCCCAACATGTTGGTCAGCATCAGACCTCACAGAGCAACCATGTCCAAAGTTGTGGCCCCCGACCGATTATAAACAGCCTGCAGCTCGTTGGTTGGATATTCTGTATGTGCCCACCACACATTGGCCAATCTTTTCCATTCATCGCACAGTTTTAAGAGGTGCAGCAGGTACAAAACACACAGGTGGAACTCACGTGTGACCTAACAGCGGATATTTGCTGCTGCTAATCAGACATCGCAGCAGCAAATAATGTCACAACTCCTCCTCTGTGACTCTGCCTGTGACATCAGTGTGTGTGTGTGTGTGTGTGTGTGTGTGTGTGTGTGTGTGTGTGAGTGAGCTTTTATGTTTTGTTTTTTTAACCTGTTGTGTGACTAAAGTGTGCTCGGTGTGTTTTGGTTTTTGTCTGCAAGTTCCTTTCCTACTCTCCCTCACTTTCCCCTGCTCTCTGCACAGATTCTCTCTCCACAGTCAGCACTCCAGTCCTCCAATAAAGCCACTCCTCTCCATGACACATTCAGTGCCTGCTTCCAGTCCCTGCCAGACTGTTGTGCTTACATGGTTTGTGAAGTGTCACACATCTAGTTCCTGTCCAGTTTGCTTGCCAGTCTCACAAGAGACGCCAGTCAGTCAGCCACTTCTCCACATTCATCAAACCACTCACAGAAAACCCCACCTGCCAAGCCCATCCACCCTCGGACAAGGCACCAACCCCCCCTCTGCTGGAACCTCTACTCATCATCCAAAGACCCCATTTACCGTTCACATTTCATTAAAAGACTTGTGTTAAATCTACTCACCTGTCTCGCGTCTGCATTTGTTTTCAGCTTTAACAAACGTGACAAAGAAACATAAAGTCGACAGCGAGGGCTGCAGTTTTCAGGAGCGGTGGAAAGTTGAATACATTTTCACTGAAAGATGAAACAGCTGCGTTTGCCTCATTTCTAAGTGACTATGTTTTTAATAACCCGTATGAAGCGAGGAGCAGTTGGCCCCTAGATACTTTCACATTATCTAATCTTGCCCTCTGCTCTACCTGATATCAGGTCTTTCATTTTAATCTGCAGCCATGTTGAGTGGCACAGTCAGGCTGAAATACTCAACTCACACCAAGAAACAAACTCAAAGGCAGAGCAGGGGTTGACTTTAGTGCTAAAAGTTCCTCTGTTCCTTTTTCTACCACTGGTCCCTTAAATTCTGTGATTTTTAAGATCTGTCAGAATCAGATATCAGTTTTATCAGATGAAGCATCAGAGGTTAGTTTTTGTAGGAAATAAACATGAAAATGACCAAACTGACACATTTAATATCGACTTCTTATTGAATTTGTACAAACTTTGTTTCTGGATTTTCATGATGGTGATCAGCAGCTTTGAGGCAGAAAGATGATTGGACATGTTACAGGATAACTTTGGCATTTTTCAACATGGACCTAATCCCCCTGTGTACACTGGTCAAAGAGACTGATGTGATCAACAGTGTTTGACAGTGGTCCATTATTGAGGCAGCAGCACAACCGGTAAATCCACTCTTGGAACAGCAGCTTTCTGCAGGAAAAACAGCTCTGGACTTCTTCTCCTCTTTGACCAGTAGAGGTCGTGCCAGGTGTGTGTGCACAGTGTATGGCCAGGAGTGTGTTTGGATAAATTGGAAGCACAACGAGCCAAAACTTCAGCGTGTCCATATCCAACAAAGATAGTCGATAACAGCTGCTGGAAATGTAGCGCCTTATTCTGTTGGCACAGTTCAGGAATGCACAAACACAAATCACTCACTCAACCGAGGCATTTTTCCTCTGTGGGCACTCAGAGTCACAGCACCCACAGGAGCACCATCAGCTTCATGGCCTCACAGCAGCTGGTTCACCCTCCACTGCCTTTTATTCATCTCTGTCCTCATCCACTCTTCATCCGTGTACGGGCGGTGATCAAATTCAGAAGCCTCAGTCAGGTAAATAATCATCCATGGCACTGAATATCTTTTAGAAAACACTGAACTACATTTACTGTGAACTACTGTGGTTATTATGATACTGTCTCCGGGTCTCACACACATTTCCACTGTTGTTTTCCAAGTGCAACAAGTGACATCTGGTGATGTTTCAGGAGCAGCAGACCTCCTCCTTAACCAAGCAATGACAAACAGAACGGATCAAATGAAAGCTACAGAGACACGTCAGCCACTTCTAATAATCTGTGGCAAAAATAACCAAGTTTTAAAAGTTTTTGTTCAAATCAGTGTCTTTGACGGGGAAATAGGGTCCAGGTTAAAAAATGCTGAAGTTATCCTTTCAGTTTAAAAAGTTTTTACACATTTGTGCTCAACGTCTTCAGTGACAACAGACAGATGGAAACAGCACAGGGTTAATATTTAAGGACAGGCAGTTATAAAGCTTCCAGGTGACAGTATGATCACCATGATCACATTCTCATTCAGAACATTCAGAATGAGTAAACATCAGTGTCATGCAGACAGATTGAGGAGACAGGTCACACAGGTGTTTCAGGGATCATTTTAATGAATCACTGATTCTTCAGATCAGTTTATCAAATGACAAAATCCATTCCACAGATCACAAAGATCAGAGAGGTTAATATTCAGAACAGATGAGTCAGAGAGATGAGAGACTTTTATCTGTAACCACACATGAGGTTCTCCTCCTCGAAGTAGGAGTGGCAGCACATGATGAGCTTCGTGGCCACTGAAACAAACTCTTCAAAGTCCACTTTGCCGTCTCGATTCTTGTCCAGATCGTCTATGATCTGACATGACTTTTGAACATCCTTGCTTGACTGTAAACAAAGAAAAGAAATGAAAGAATTATTGAGATATAATTGTGTGATTTTAACATTAAATTCTTCAGCACACTCAGAGGTGAAGTGACAGTGAGGTCAGTACCTCCAAGAGCTGACGGAGCTCTCTTTGGAACAGATCCCTCATCTCCCATCGGTTCAGGTGAAACTTGTCACCGTCTTGGAGAGCGTGGCTCTGGAACACATCAACCAGCATGTTCATGGCTGATTCCAGTGTTCCCTGCGCTGGGCAGTAGACTGCGATTGGCTGGCACGCTGGCTGTAAAGTGTGAAAAAATAAGACTTGAGTGATATAACTTTGTTGTCTTATGCAGATTAATGCATTTTTATTTGTTTCAGGTTTGTCCTACAGAATCATGTGTAAAGAGACGATAGAAACAGCTGTGATCTCTGTCTCACAGCCAGATTCAGAGTGATCTTGCTGATTGTGAAAGTGGATTGTTCTAATCGAGACATCACGTGATCACTAACATGGATCTGGCACCTTTGAAATAGACGAGCTTCAAGAAAATAATGATTGTATTACGTTGTTGAAACTGCAGCTACGCCTCCGTCCTGTTGTTTTGAACATAAACAAAGAAAATGATCTTTCCTCTGGGAGATCCTGACATGAAAAGTTAACAAGCTGTATTATAGAGTGATGTCATAGGTGTATGTTCTAACACAGAGACATTATCAAATTGGTTTCCATGAAAACATTAGATCATGTATTGTGCAGTAGAGTGTCATGAAAATGTTTTCAAACGGTCAAAAGTTCTGGTAAATTGTATTTTTTTTTTTTTTTTAATGCTCAAACATCGATCACGACCTCAGAAATCAAAATGTATTTTAAGTATTATTTGTATTGTTGTTGTATCTGTGCTGCAGATTTGGGCTCACAAGTTTTTAAAGTACGGTGACTCAGAATAACAAAATGAACTCACCGCTGAGGTATTTAAAATGTGTCGTGGTGCTAATAACGCTCTTTTGTTAGTTTTGTATTTACTGCATCGTGCCAGCTGATCTAAATGTGTCAGCTGGTTTCCAGGAATCAATCACTCCCTGCAGTAAATAATGCTATCGCATATTTATGCTCATATCTATATGCAGTATTTACTTGTTCCAGGCATGTTTAGAGTCTCAAATGTTTCCTTTTTAAAAACACAGTTTGAGTGTAGACTGAAAGACTCACCTCCATGAAGCTGCTCAGGAAGATCAGAAAGAAGAAGAAATGAATTTCACCTTGGTCTCATGACGTTTATAGAGCTGCCTGTCCAGATAAAATCAGCTCTTCCCTCTGATGATGACGATGATGATGATGATGACTGTGGGTGTGGCTGCACCAGCAACACAAACACACATTCAGAGCGTCTTGGTGTCTCATTGTAAGGTTTAATATTGTAATTCTTCTTGGTGAATAACGTGTTTGTGGGTGTCCCATTTTTATTTGTCATCATTCACAGGCCGAGATCACTCCAAGATTCTGAAGGTATCTGGATCCATCTGTTCTCAGATACAGTAACTCCTTCTTGCTGTTGACACCATGAGCAGCATCGACCTGTCGCTGTGTTTCATGTGTTCAAACTGGACCTGAGATGAGTGAATGCTGTGAACATGCAGGGGAATCTTGAGACGCAGTATGCTGTCCATTGGTCCGACATCCCATTGTTCCGACCATATTAAACTCATTGTTCCGAAGTCCCGTTGTTCCGAAATCATCATGATGCCCTGTGGTTAAGGTCTGGTTAGGTTTAGGCACAAAAACCACTTGGTTAGGGTCAGGAAAAGATCATGGTGTGGGTTAAAATGAAAAAGAAAGTGACAAACACATAAGCTGTGAGCCTGCTCCGCCTCAAGCCTTTCCCAGCTGACCCAGAGCCGGTCACGGCGCACCATCAAGGCAGAAATACGCCCGCCGGGAGCCGTTCAGCACCGCGGACAGTCGGACTAATGGGATGTCGGACCAATGACATGGACCCGTCTATTGTTGCTGAGTGTCACAGTCGGTTAACCATTGCTTCTTGATTTTCTTGTAGTCATTGTGTCATAGCGATCGACCTGCATTTATTCTCAGGCTGCTGACTTTGATTTCCTCATCTGAGGTGACAGAGGCATGATGGGAGATCGTTCAGCTTTGATTAAAGAAGGGTTGATTCGAAGGCTTGATATTGTCTCTTCTGTCTGTTAAAAATGTCTGGTATGTTGACCGTGTGTTGAGGGTTTGATCATGATCACGATAGCAGGGTATTCTAGACAGCACTCACAATTCAAGTTTGGCTTTATATTGTGGAAGCTCAGCTCTCTCTCTCTTTGCAGACAGATTTTTCTTCCAGCTGGTCTCCATGTTCAGACCTGCAGGCTGTCTGCTGCTGTTACAGCTGAAGGAAACGACTCTTAATCTAACAAGAAGTGGACATATTACAGCTTTATTATATCACCACTGTCGCGTAGGGGAGCGTAGCGCGACAAAAACAGAAGAGCCGCGTAAAATAGAGAGTTGTCGCGCGACAGACGGGGGTTGTCGCGCCGCTCCCGTTGCTGGTGGAGCCCGGCTGTTAAGTTACGCCCCCCGTAACAACTCTCTATTTTACGCAGCTCTTCTATTTTTGTCGCGCTACGCTCCCCTACGCGACCCTCCAGCAGATAAAAACTACATGAAATAGTGTGCTAAACGAGCACAATGTGTTTTTAAATGAATAAACCATTATCAGAGGTGATATGTGATGATTTGTTTTCATGCATTTACCCATGTTTATCCGTGACATTGTGTAAATGTCCGTGGCGGACATTTGAAAGCTAGTAGATGACAAACAGTACAGTAAACTTGTAGATAACTCAAATATATGTATTATCTTAGGTGGAAAATGTTTTAACATTTCATGCAGCCTACATGCAGCCTCTCGGCTCGGCAAACGGTAAACAACCCCGCTGGCTTCTCTACGTGCGCAGTCAGTGGAGCCCAAATGAATACGCCGCGACGCTACGCTGACGTGACGCTTATGTTTGCAGTCGGTGGAGCCCGGCCGTAGAGCGATCTGGGAAGCGTGGCCAATGTCTTTAGAGATATGGTTCATGATAAATCTGCAAAGTCCTTCCAGAATCTCTTTGTGTGAGAACAATAACAGAAATGGTATAAAACAGTTTCCGAATGTTCATCACAGAAAAAGCAGTTTGTGTTTATGTAGTTGTTAATATTCCTGCCTGTAGACACTGGCAGGGTAATATTTATGATTAGTTTTGAAGAACATCTCTTTAGACTTATAAATAGTAAGGTATTTATGAGGAAACATCCAAACCTTCTTCCAGTGTATACCATTTACAAACGATTCTAATTTGCCATGACATATGGAATAAAGACAACGTCTCATTGAAACAGGGCATGTATGGCTCTATCATTATTTTAGGAAGGTGACGAGAAACAGATTTTTGACTTGATTTCTGACTTGCAGATTTCTGCAAGTCATATTTTTCCTGCTGGGGAGTCAACCGCATTTGGGGAAGGTACAGATCTGGGTGTCGGTCCAATTACATTTCTAAGAAACATTATGTTAGTTCATGTAATCAGAGCTGCGTCACTTTAGAAAACTTGATATGATATGTATTAAATGTGCAAATGTAATGTTTCTGTGGTTTGCAGAACACTAACATTTTCCTCTGAGGACTGGGCTGAACTCAAAGAAGAAAATATCTGACTGTGCAGACAGTGTGGAGTCACAGGAGCTCTTGACTATATCGTGAAAATCCAGTCAAAGCAATTCATCTCTGACTTTGGTGAGTTCAGATGAAGTTTTCCTTTAAAAAAAATCTCTTAGTTCTTCAACTAAATTAAAACCAGATTGTCACAAAGCTGAAAACTGACATTTGAAACTCCTGACAGGATGCATCCTGTCAGGAGTTTCTGAACGTCTGGTCGATAACATGAGGTGTCGGCTCCACGTTCACCTGGCAGATGGCCTTCGGCTTGCCGTCCTCTGCTTTGAATGGTGCATGGTCTCACATATCTTGTTCATGTTGCACATCTTTAATACAACATACTTGTGACCAGATAAGATGTGTATCTGAGCAGTCCTGTGACTTCACACTGTCAGATAAGACACCTGTCCCTACTTAACTTCAACTTATCTTCCTTCCAATCAGGGCAGAGCCACTGTGCTTGTTTTTAATCTACCACTCTCAGTCTGAAGACGCCACTGCCTTCGTGAATGCAGAAACTGCAAGTAAGTGTAGATAAGTTCAGTTATCAGCCACACATCCCACAGCTGAGTTATGGGCCCTCATTTCTCACCACGAGGTCTAACTGTGAGCCCATAAATGCACGTCTCTCTTTAGATAGGTATCAAAAAACAAAAACAGGTACAGCCACCACCAGCTTCACCTTTCAACTTGGCTGAACTCTTCTCAAGATTAAATATCAAAATGCCTTTTAGTCACTGTAGCCACAGAGCAGAGTGTATGTACGTGGCTGTTTAGCAACGCGGGGCAAAGTGTTTCAATTCTCCAGCAACATGAATACAACTAGTCGTCAGCTTGCAGGTGCGTCCTGCAGACACTTGATGGCACTATTTATGCGCGGTTATAGAGCAGCTGATTGGCTGTTACGGCTCCTGACTTTCCGCTCTGTGTGGCCTCGTCTCTGTATCTTGATCCAACAAACCTTATCGCTGCTTTGCATTTTACAGTCTTTGCTCCCGGCTGCAGCATCAGGCCACCACAGCTTATGTTTCTGAGCAGTTTCTGCATAATTTGCTGTCAGACAAGCTGCTGCTATATAATTGAAGAAGACTTTGTAAGAGTTCGTATTGAGTTTCTCCAGACTGCATTGTGTTCGGCTTCCTTTGAGGGCTGCCTTTAACCTTAAATGCTACTTTGCAGTACGTGTGTTCATGAAGACAAAGGATGTTAGGTTATGCTGTATCAATTTCACCTCTGTCTGCTGGGAAATGATTTTTAGATATTTTTAGAGTGGAACGTCCTCCGTGTCTCTGAGGAGAGATTTTACATCCTCAAGTCTCTAAGGCTTAATAGTCTCTAATAGTTGCATATGTGGCTCCATTTACACTCAACTCTTTAGATTTGAACTCTGTTTTTAGCCTCAACTTTTTATGTCAGGGCTTCAGGACACTTGGGTCACTACGGATGAGCAGTATGGGGCTATTTTTTTTTGGGGGGGGGGGGGGACTTATTGGGGCCCTCAAAAAGTCTGGAATCTAAAGTTTGGCGCAAAAATGGTCCAGTCCACCCATGTGCTGTGGGTCCATCTGAACCACATACTTTTTATTTTTACTTTCAGAATGTACTGCAGCTGCCCTTAAAAAGTACATTGTGTTGCATGCAGTGTGCACACCATCAGGACAGACCACTGTCTCATGTTACGCCCTGAACTTTGACCCTCTTACTCATAATTCATGTTACCATGGAGATAAAACAAAATGCCGTTCACCGAGGTCGCCAGAGATGAAGGTCAACCCAGACAGCTCTGATGTTGTTATGTTACAATACACTGTAGATTCTAACATATTATATCCATGATAGTAACATTACAGAGACCAGATCACAGTTCTCAGTCAGTGTTATGTAATATCTGTGTCCTTTGGTTGTCGGTTATATTTATGATTATTTTATTAAACAATTTGTATTGATATTAATAATCGAGTGGTCATCAGTCACCTGAATGTGCCGTCATCCATCATTGCAGCGTCTATCAGCTGTAAATTGTCGATGTGACATCATCACTGTGCAGAGGACTGTGCGTCAGAATAACCAGAAATGCATGCTGGCTTGCATACTGCAAAATCTGACTGGATGCAGTTTTTGGCATACTGCATTTGACATACTAAATCTTTTTCTGACATAGTGTATAGTATGGCAGTATGGGTACTGGAGCACCAGCGTACACTCTTTACCTAAAGTTTGAGAAGTCAATGTTCCATAAAAAGAAAATTAAAAAGTTAAAGAAAATGAAACTAATTTTGTAAAAACAAAAACAAAAACAGATAATAAAAAATAAGGAGAGACATAGATGAACAAAGGAAGGGTGAGGGGCCCACAGAGACTGCTTATGCACAGGGCCCAGAGTTTGGTGCCACTCCCCTCGGTTGTTGTCGTACATGAGACCTATCTGTCTCCTGTGCTACTGTCAGGACACACTGACAGTCTCAGCTGTACGACAAAAACTTCTTTTTATAAGCTCTAATGCTGGTTTGGTTCCCTTTTTACCATTTCCTTTGAGTTATCATTATCTTGTCTGTGAGTTAATGTTTCTCTAAATGTTGGCTTGTGCCCTGCGTCCGGTGGACATCCTCTGAGAGTGAACTGCTCTTGTTGGATCATCTTATGAAAATAAAAATGGAATTGACAAATGAAAGAAAAACTAGATTTAGCCACACATTACATCAGCTGTAGCATATCTGTGTTGGATCCCTGTTTTTGAAATGTCACTCTGGACACACGAGGCATCGTATAGTCGAGCCTTCTGTTTCTTTAAAGGAGTTGTTGTGTGATGTGAACGCGGGACGAGCCTCAGATCTTCAGAGTAGGGTCATCTGAAGGTCAAAGTAGAAAAGTGAACGTGATTGTTCAAACTAAGTGAGCAATGTTGGGACACCACTATCACACCTGCTGACTTGTGATGGACATTTTGA